AAGTAAGCTTCAGGAGGAAAGGTGTAGATTGTAAAGTTCAGCAAAGGCAATTTTGTGAATGCTCACTGTTAAAGTTCCTTTTTCCCCTAGTGTGCTTAATGTTTTCTAGAGAGATTTCTGTTTACGGAACCACTTGAATTTCATATTGAAGGGTCGTTTTTATAAGTTATTTATTGAGTAAAATCGATGAATAAAAAGGTTATGTATGTATGTAATCTTGCCCTATGCCAGTCCTGTTTCCTCTCCCCTGCAGGTATTTGCTGATGGTTTTTTTTTTGTTTTTTAGACAGAAGTCTCTTTGTTGCCCAGGCTAGAGTGAGTGCCAATGGATCAGCCGCCCGCCGCCCCCGTAGCTGCAAGGGAACTCGACTCCTGGCTCAAGCGATCTTTGCTGGCCTCGAGGCTCGAGTGGCTGGGGAGCTACGGAGCACCACCGATGCCGCTATTTTCGGGGTTATGGATATTGTTGGCCAATTATTTCGTTCTCCGGGTGGGTTGGATAGGTGAAGAGATGGGTCTCAGCGTCTTGTTTGTAGGCTTGTTTGACCTGGACGTTGATTATTGGCCACTTTGGCTTCCAGGAGTGCAGGAGTTTACGCGTGAGCCACCTGGCTGACTTGGTTAGTATCCTTTATACTAAACCCAGTTTAGCTTTACTTAATTTGCTTTGTTTTACACAGTCCCACTTAGAATAAAAATCTAGCATAGTGACTTTATTTTAGTTATATAGCTAGAATTTGATTGCTTTCTTTCCCATTTTGGGTTCATGGTTGGAGCTCTATGACAAAAGGCAGATTAAGAAGAGAAAAGAAACCAAATTTACTTAATAAGTTTTATGTGACACCAGGAGCCTTCAGAAATGAAGACTCAACCAAGGAAACAAACGTGTGTATTTTCATGTCTAGGTTTGTTGAAGAAGTTGGTAGTTGTAAAGTATGATTGGACAGATATGGTATGATAATGGTAATAAACTGGGTAGAACTTGGTAAGGCTCCCTTTCTCCCTAGATTCTTCTCTGTGTCCCTAAGTCTTCAGAGATAAGAATGTTCCTTTCCTCCATGTATAGGAAAGGCACCTCTTGAATGAGGGTCATATGACCTGTTTTTCAAGGGAAACAAGTGGGAGAAGGTCAGAGAGTGACCTTCCTAGGTTTTATAGCCTATTTCAGGGAAGAAGGTGAGGAGAAGGTGAGAATGGACTCCTGCTTCTGCTGTTTTCTCAAATGCCAAAGCACCATATTTTGGGGGTAGCATGTTCTGAACCCCACCAGAAAGTATTACCAGGGATAAAGAAGGATAATTCATAAAGATAAAAAGGTTAGTTCATCATAAACCTAATGTGGCATAATAGGAAACATATTTGGTTTTTGTTCCTATTCCTGGCAGAGAGCTCCTAAAACTCTTGGAATTTCCCAAGTAAAAGGAATGTCATTTGTTGCTCATAACCAGCCGCTTATTAACATAACCACACCCTAGTTTATGCTAATGAACCAATTTAGGGTAGGGCCCCCAGACAGCCTTAGGATGGGGCTGGTCAACAAAAAGACCCAGAGATTAAAGAGAAGGCAGGAACTTTTTGCTCCTCCCACCAAACTGGGGGTAGAGGGGAGATGGGCCAGAGATGAAGCTCTATAAAACTCCTGAACTAGGAAATCTGATGAGCTACCAGGTTGGTGACTGCATCTACAGCTAGGAGGATGGTGTACACAAGCTCCATGGGGACAAAAGCTCCTGTGCTGGAAACCCTTCTGGACCTTGTCCTATGTACCTGTTCATCTGGCTATTCATCTGTATCCTTTATTGTTTTTATTTTATTTTATTTTTTTTTGAGACAGAGTCTTACTTTGTGCCCAGGTTAGAGTGAGTGTCGTGGTGTCAGCCTAGCTCACAGCAACCTCAAACTCCTGGGCTCAAGCAATCCTACTGCCTCAGCCTCCCTATAGCTGGGACTACAATATGTGCCACCATGCCTGACTAATTGTTTTTTTTTCATATATATATATTAGTTGGCCAATTAATTTCTTTCTATTTATAGTAGAGACGGGGTCTTGCTCTTCCTCAGGCTGGTCTCGAATTCCTGACCTCCAGCAATCCGGCTGCCTCAGCCTCCCAGAGTGCTAGGATCCGTATCCTTTAAAAGTACATAAAGTGTTTCCCTCAGTTCTGTGAGCCATTTTAAAGAAATTTAAAATGATCAAATTTTAAAACTTGAGAAGGGGGTTGGGGTAGCCCTTAATATATAGCCAGTCAGTGAGAAGTATAGGAGGCTCAGAACTGGACTTGGCATTTCAAATGGAGGCAAATCAAATGGACACTTTACAGGATGGTACCCTTTAACTTATGGGATCTGGCCCTAACTCCAGGTATATAGGTACCTATATATATAGGTGTATATATATATATATATATATTTTAATTCAACATTAAATTAAATTACAGGATACTCAGCCAATGTCCACAGAATTGGTAAATTTGGTTGGTATAGGAAAAAATCCACACATCGGATGCAAGAAGTGTTCTGCATGAGTGTGTTGAGAAACTGTTTTCTTCAGACATGGTATGTGCCTAATAATAGGACTTTCAAAATACATGAAGGAAAAATGGGCACAGTTAAAGGGAGAAATAGATGACTAGTCTACCATCAGAGATAACTATTTTAATCTCACCCCCGAAACAATTGATAGGAACTGAACAACAAAAAATTAGTAAAGACATGGAAGATCTGAACAATATAATACTATCAGCTACGATGAGTAAATATTTACAGAATAATACACTCAACAATTGCAGGACACACATTCTTTTCAATAGTATATAGCTCACTCATTAAGATAAACCATATGTGGGCCATAAACTGGGTCTCAATAAAGTTAAAAAGAATTAAAATCATACAAAGTATGTCATCTGATCTCAATGGAATTAAACTAGAAATCAGTAAGATATCTCAGAGACACAAAAATATTTGGAAATTAAGCAATATGCTTGTAAATGCTCTACATCAGATATGAAATCACAGGAGAAATTAGGTAATTAAAACTGAGTGATAATGAAAACACAGCAACATTTGTGGGAATCAAGATTCAAAACATTGAGCTTGCAGAAAACCCTGTGCTAAGAGAATGAAAAGATAAGCTGCAGACTGGGAGAAAACATTAATATGCCACATATCTGACAAAGGACTAGTACCTAAAGAACTCTCTAAATAAAGTTTAATTAAAAAGAAAAACCACACCATGTCAGATGAAGTAACAAACAAAACAAAACAAATTATTAACCTGGCATGGCAGCGTGAGCCTGTAGTCCCAGCTACTTGGGAGGGTAAGATACGAGGGTGCTTGAGCCCAGGAATTTAAGGTTGCAGTGAGCAATGACGACACCACTGCACTCTGGCCCTGTCTTAAAAACAAAAACAAAAAGAACCCAAAACAAAACAAAAAAATCAATAAAAATCAAATTAATTTGTGGGATAAAGTTATACCTGGGCTTAAGAGGAACTGTGTAGCTATTTAAAATGTTAATATTAGAAAAGAAGGTCTAAAATAAATAAAGAAGCTAAAAAGAGAACAAAACTCAAGAGTAGTAGAAGAAAAAATAAAGGTAAGAGCAGAAATAAATGAAATAGAAAACAGACAACAAAGGAAGAGAATGAAGTAAAAGTTTATTCTTTGAAAATATCCATCTAATAACTAAACCAGTCAGGGGAAGGAGAAAAAACAAACAAACCCAGAAATGATCATGGACAGAGAACAGTAGATCCTACAGACATTAAAAAGATAAGGGATTGCTTGGTGGCGTGCACCTGTAGTCCCAGCTACTCAGTAGGTTGAGTCAGAAGTAGGCTGGAGCCCAGGAGTACAAGTCCATTCCAGGCAACAGAGCGAGACAAAACCCTGTCTCTTTAAAAAAGTAAAATAAAATAAGGGAATATTATAACCATGTTCTGCCATAAATTTGACAACATATAAAAAGAAAAATTCCTTGAAAACTATAACGTACCCAAACTAATACAAGATGACATATAAAATCTAAATAATGCTCTATTGAATAATTTGAATTCATTTATCAAAAATTTTCCCACAAACAAAAGTCTAGGCCAGATGGTTTCAGTGGTGAAGTAGTCCAAATATTTGAGAAGCAAATAAGACCTATCTTACACAAACTCTTTCAGAAACTAGAGGGGGAAGAAGTACTTCTCTCTCTCTTTTTTTTTTTTCAGACTCTGATTTTTGCAAACTTCTCAATTCATTGACATGGTCAGCATAACCCTCAAAGTATAACCTGACAAAGACATTTCAAGGAAAGAAAAGTATGAACCAAACTTCCTTGTAAATATAGAATCAAATATTACTAACAAAACATTAATGAATCAAATCTAACAATTTATAAAATAGGTAATACATTCTGACCAAGTAGATTTTACCACAAGATAGAAAGGCTGGTTTAACATTTGACATTTAATAAATGTAACTCATAATATTAACCATATACAGGAGATTAAAAAAAAAGACATGCTCATTTCAATAGATGCAATGCTAATTCTGCTTAGATACTCACTTTAAGTTTTCTAATTCCTGTCTTCTCAATGGAGAAGAAGGTGGAGCTGGAATGAATTTGTCTCCATCATGGCTTTTACTGCTAAAATAGAGATAGAATCTTAATTATGAACAGCAACAAATAAACAATTTTGTTTTTTTTGAGACAGAGTCTCGCTTTGTTGCCCAGGCTAGAGTGAGTGCCGTGGCGTCAGCCTAGCTCACAGCAACCTCAAACTCCTGGCTCAAGCAATCCTCCTGCCTCAGCCTCCCCAGTAGCTGAGACTACAGGCATGTACCCGCATGCCCGGCTAATTTTTTCTATATGTATTAGTTGGCCAATTAATTTCTTTCTATTTATAGTAGAGGATGGGGTCTCGCTCTTGCTCAGGCTGGTTTCAAACTCTGGACCTCAAGTAATCTGCCCGCCTTGGCCTCCCAGGGTGCTAGGATTACAGGCATGAGCCACTGCGAGCCCGGCCAACAAATAAACAATTAAACGTAAAATTTTGGTTCCCTGTTCCCACTCTGATGCAATTTTTTATGACAAAAGTATAAAAGAGTCAGAATAAAAATGCTTATTTGGTAGCACCAACAAGTTAAAGCTATACTGTATATTATTTGCTTTTCCCCAGTACACAATACTGCTTTTAAAAAATCTCTAACTGAAAATAATATTTCTTCTACATAAAATAAATCAATCTAATATGTAATATCACTATTGCTCGTCTTCTATTGTATTTGGTTTGTTTGTTTTTTTTTGTAAGATCTATATATCTTTCACTTGTGTCTTCATGGTTTACAGCCTATTTATATATTGTATATATTGTTGTGTATCTTATGTATAACCTCTATATTGCTCTTAGTGTTATCCTGTTATATTGTCTCCCAATGTAATATGTGTGTTTATATGGTATTTTAATGCTTGCTATATTTTAATTTGATGTTTATATATGTTTATGTATGTAGACAGTGTGTCTGTGTTATGTATGTGTCTGGGTTTGAACCCTGACCTTTAGCGATCCGCCTCGGTTTAATGTGTTATGTTTACAGCGTGTGAGGAAATGTAGTCTTCTGCCCTGTTTTTTTTGTGGTAATTATGTATGTATTGGATGTCTTGTGCCCAGTGTCTAATGCCAGTTTGTGTTTAGTGTGTAATCATACATATTTACTCTTTGGGGGCTCAATTATATGTTATGTTTTTCCTCCTGCCTTTTTGTGTTCGGCCTGGAGTAAGCCGGGCACTACAGGTGCATTTTACTGCAATTCTGGCTATTCTGATTGCTTGTTAATTAACTGCAGTAAAAAAACATTACTTGTTGAACAGGAAAAACAGTAAAACCCTAACTCCATGATTTTGTCTCACATTTTCTATCAGTAAACATGTATTTCTTACATATAATCAAAGAAAAAAATGGCTGGGATGGAGACATATGAGTTCAAAGTGTGCCATGTGTGAAAAGCATAAGTTTCTTTAGTATATAATGAGTTTGTTTTGTTATTTATTAGATAAGCTCCCCTGATTTTCTACCAGATTCACATAATTTTTAATTTATTACTAGAAACTAGAAAATATATAGAACTCTTAACAAATGTTATTATGTTCATGTTCAATAACAAAAAGTTACTTTGTCCACTCTTCTCTTCTCAAGGATCTCTCCTCTCATTTTAGCCTTGTATTTCTCTCTCCCAGAAATACTTAGAAATATTGAAAATCTGTCCTATTATGTCAAGAACAAAGAGAATCTTGGAAATCAGGCTGAAGATGTTTGTTAGGAATTTTATTAAAGGAAAAAGAGCTTAATAAAGAAGTCCTTGAAATGATGTTTTGCCAAGAGGTTCACAAGATGTAGAATACCTGCATTGTCAGCTTGCTTGCGCTGTTTCTGTGTTCCCCCTAATTGATTACTATTTTTAGACCCATTTTTTCCTGCTTTGGATCTGCTGTCTTCATTAGCAGCAACAAAGCATTTCTGAAAAATGGTGCAAACTCCTACTGGTACAGAATGGCTGGAAGACTGTCAATCACTTAAAAAAATAAAACAATTAGCTAAGCAGGAGACAATAGAAAAAATAAAGCTTTTATTATCAGGAAAAAACCAATTGATCATAAATGAAACCTTTGTCTTCTGATAGTAGAAATTTATATAAGAAGTAGTTGTAAAAATTTCGGCATGTTTGTTAGAGATAATAATGTTATATATCTGCATATACTTCCTGTATCCATTTCTTTCCTTCATTCGTTCTTCCGTTCCCTTTCTTATGCTTTTATATGTTTTTTTTTCCTAGGTTGTCTTTCCTTTACAGGAGTAGATTAGAAGATTAATGTTATTGGGATTTTCCTTGAGAGACTGTTAGATTGTAGCATCTTAGTATTGACGCAGGATTACATAGAAGTTGTGTGTCTTTATGGAGATTGTGGGTGATCATTAGATGGTCATTGCAGATGAACACTTTATGTAGGGGTATTTATTTTGTTATACCATGTTTGACTAATGTATGTATAAAGTCTTTGGCAGACATGGAATGAAGATTGTCAAAATCGACTGGAAGGTTGGCATGGTTGCATGGAGTATGTGTAGTGAGTAGGAGATATGTGAGAAGGAGAGAGGAAAAAAACAGACCAGTACTTTGCTTGTATTGTGCCAAAAAGTTTTCTTATATAGACATGTTTGTAAATACAGTATAATTGTTCTTTATAGTTTGTCCATTTCTGCTGGATATTTTATGGTGTTAAATATAAGCTTGTTCTGTAGTAGTTGATGTGGTATAACAATATCTGTCTTTCATCGTGTTTGTTCTTTTTTTTTTGAGACGGAGTCTCGCTTTGTTCCCCAGGCTTAGAAGTTGGAGTGCCAGATCTGTTGTGGTGCGTGTTTT